ACTACAACTAGTTTCATATTAGCAACAGTAAATATTTCTGAAATCTTTGCTAATGAAAGAATACAGTAGACTCTTAATAGCTTGAAATAAGAGGAGAAGAGAAAAATTTGAGTTAACAAAATTCTTCTTACAGAAATTACCAATATTTTAAAGAAAACATAAATATCATAATACTAACAATATAATTAGACTTAAATACATTATATTCTCAATATAAGCTTCTAGTAATTTATTACTAATTAATAGATAACAAACTATAAGCCTGCTGGCTTTTTTATTATGATTTGAGAATCATCATAATCTTTCAAAATTTTTATTTATTAAATGCATGATGTCCCAGTATGCATTTTGGTTTATTTAACAGTCCTCTTCAGCTGGGTTACATATATACACATTTTGACATTATGTATTCTGGGACATCATATGTTAATGAATAATCAGAAAATGTGTATGATGAATCTGAAATCATAACAAAAAGACCAGTGGGCTCATAGTTATTTATTACTAATTAACATTATATTATTTCTTAGTTATGTATTGGTACAAAACATAACTAAGAAAACACTGATACTACTAGCAAAAAAATCTGTTATGCAGTTTGTTATTGACAAATCATTGATTCTTGTTCAATAATGTTTTTGATGTGGTAAACACCATAAAAGCATCTTGTTTTATGAATGATGTAGTTTCTAGGAAACTCTTACATACTTAAAAGCTTTTCTGGCTTCCCTATATGGGAACAGGATGTTTGTTCTTCACAGGATTTATTTCTTTCTCAGTTTCATTGCTTGTTTTTTTACTTCGACAATATCATCTTTAGATAAGTATCTGCAGATAGATCATTGTCAACATTGACAAAATGTGTGAATGATGCTTTTTATCATCCATTTATGTAATAAGATCAGCCCAGTCATCTTTGATATAAATGATAGATTTTGATGGCAGTTCTGATTTATTAAAAGCATTAACAAACTGCTGATCAAAAGTTACTTTTGTAATGTAATTTTCAATGGTAATTTGTGGACTCCATTTTAAGTTTTGTTAATCATTTGCATTGAATCTAGCAGGTTCACTCCAAACTCATCTTCAATAACATACATCTTCATCTTTCACACAATAAGCTTTCCACATTGTAAGTTTTAGAATTTTGAATTATTCCCAAATCTAAAAGTTGGAATCTAGAAACTGTACTGGGTAACAATTGAACTGTTACAGCTTTCAAAGTGGAAATAACTGAATGTGTGTCAAAAAGAATAATTTTTTTGTATACTTTCCTTTTTGTTCTGTCTGATTTTGCTGTCCATTGAAGCTTTCAAAAATCATCATCTTGTTTTTCAGATAGGCAGAGAAAAGGGTCAGTGAAATGTCAAATTCTTTTGCAATTTTTTTATTTTTCTTTTTGCTTTCCTCCAGTTTTTATGACAACTTTTCTGCTATTAACAGAGGCATTAATTTTCTCTTGTTCATCAATTCTATTTCAGAACGACAATGTCAATATATGATTCAAACTTTATAGTCAAATTTATATGGTATGAATGTTTTGTTCAAAGTAAAAAAATATGAATAGATGATCTCATAAATTTGACTGGTCAATAACTGAATAAGCACTCAAATCATAGATTTACTGTTTAAGTTTTCAAAAATGTAAAAATCTTTAAAATAACAATTTTAAAGTGCTAAAATTCAATTAGTCAATTTGTATTAAGAATGAGATCACTGCTTTAGACAATGTGATTAAAATTTTTATTTTATGTTGTGTAAGCTGATGCAGACATACATACAATACCAATCTTTAACTTGGTGATAATATTGTCTATTCTATGGAAAATGCAGAAGATAGTATACAAAATTAGATATAAAATAAAGAGATTTAGTATGTGTCTCTTTAATCCAAATTAGTAAAAATGGTAGACTTTCTCTCAGCTATTAGGTTAGGTACTCCTTTATTGCAAATCACAAATGCATTTCGGGCCTATATGAGCCCCTCTTCAGTGTAAATGTTCAAAAGACAGAGTAACGTTTTCTAATTGTATGACACTCACACAATGATATTTTATATAATCCAAAAAAACACATGAATGTGTACACTATTACACAGGTACAATTAAAAACCTGTAAGGTATTTAAAACTGTATCATGTACTATAAGACGTTATCAGAATACATCATGTTTCCATTACAGTTTATCATATTTGTTAACGTTATTGTTGTAACAAATGATTTTCTGACTTATGATGTTAGGTATCTCTCTTTTAAAAACCTCTGTCATATTTTTTTACAACCACTGTTCTTTTTATCCATTTTATTTTCAAATAGTTCTTCTCAATATCTGGTGTGGTAGCTGATGAATATGTAGATTTTAGATATTGAGAAGAAATATTTGAAAATAAAATGGATAAAAAGAACAGTGGTTGTAAAAAAATATGACAGAGGTTTTTTTAAAAGAGATACCTAACATCATAAGTCAGAAAAATCATGTGTTACAACAATAACGTTAACAAATATGATAAACTGTAATGGAAACATGATGTATTCTGATAATGTCTTACAGTACATGATAGTTTTAGATACCTTACAGGTTTTTAATTGTACCTGTGTAATAGTGTCATTCAATACACATTCATGTGTTTTTTTGGATTATATAAAATATCATTGTAAGTGTCATACAATTAGAAAAGCATTACTCTGTCTTCTGAGTATTTACACTGAAAAGGGACTCATATAGGCCCAAAATGCATTTGTGATTTGCAATAAAGGAGTACCTAACCTAATAGCTGAGAGAAAGTCTACCATTTTACTAATTCGGATTAAAGAGACACATACTAAATCTATGTATTCATCAGCTACCACACCAGATATTGAAAAGAACTACTTGAATATAAAATAAAGGATCTTAAATTTTGAGTTAGCAAAATGTGATATCAAAACTATTTTGACTTATAGACACAGAATGCATTGAGTTTATGAGAGTTAAGTTGCTCTTCTATTTTCATGAATTTTGAGTCTACTGTATTATATAATTTTAATTTCATTTGATGATACAATTTAAATATCATTTAGGCATTAAAAATCAGTAAATAATGATTATCATAAAAACTTACCATGGTCAATAAATTATCAGCACTTTCTATCACATGTTTGAATTCCATTAAAACCTACAATTTTAAAATAACAGTGATTTGCTGCACATCATAATTTATCTTGTTATAATGTTTAATATTTATAGTAAATTAAATGAAAAAAATCCAATTAAGATAAAATTATTGTTACTTTTCATATACTTTTTTTGTCTAAAATACAGTAATATGCTTCAACTTGCATAGGGTGACTTAAAAAGCACAGTGTATTACCAATTTAAAAAAAAAATTTTCTCAAAAATAACTGAGTATATAACATACACAGCAACCCAATTTCATTACAAATCATGTGAGAATTATCTATCAGTATCTTCTTCGCAAGCTTATGTGTTTAATAAAGAAACATACATTGTTTCTAACATTATTCATAATTAGTGTTTAAAATCTTTATTCTTAATAATAATTTACCATAGCAGTTATTATTGTAAACCTATGAGGATTGGTTTCTTTTAAATATTTGAATCACTGAATATAATATTAAAACATCTTTCTGAATGTAAAAATTCTCATTTACTTAGGTCTCAATGGTCAGTGGCAAATAAGAAAAATGAGATTATTATTTGTGATCTCAATTGCATTAATTCAATGATTCAAATATTTATTCTCTTTTTGTACTTAATAAAAGTTCAGAAATTGTTACCATACAATATTTAATGTTTCAAAATCTTTTAAGATACAGTAAATCCTTGCTAACTTGGACTCTGCATAACTGACAATTTTTCAAAAACATTTGTCTATTATTTAAAATTTCTTGAAAACAGAAAAATTATAATTAATAAGTGTTTTTGACAACCAGAAGTCTTTGCAATACCATGCATTTAATTGCTGTAGTGAGTAAATTACTAGACTGCTGTACTGTCATAAAATTTCTTGAGCTCATTTCCTGTAATAATAAATTCAGCAGAATAAAAGCAGAATAACCTACTAAGTCAGTAAAAATCTGTAGAACAAATTGTAATGAATTAATGTACTGTATAATCAGATTCTCATTTTCGGTTTCATTGGAAACGTTTGTAAACTCAATCTTCACCTCCTAATAATAAGAATTAGTAAGGGTTTACTGTATCATGAATTAGCAAAAGTTGCCATAGTTAAAAAAATATGTTATAAAGAAAAAAATGTGTTCAATAGTTTCTTCAATTATATAAAAGATAAAGATGAAATGAATTGAAATAACTTCAATTGTCAAATTAATGATACTACATAAATAAATTCTATTCCATTGCAGTTAATTATTACACTTTCTTGAATAATATTTCAGATAATAACTATTAAAGAAATATATACTCTCACGTTTTTGTTGTAAGTAAAAAACAAAATATGTTATGATTTCCATTCAAAATGATTAAATTTATGAAAAATTTTAATTCATCTTACCTTTTCAAGTAAAGCAAATGCTTTACTTAAACTTGCAGGAAGTTCACCAAACACTTTCAAATATGGAAACTATATTTTAAAATAAGCATCATCAGTATGATGAATACTTATTTGCTTAAGTGACTGTTATAAAATATGATATTATTACTGATACTGACTCCTTTATCTAACATTACTTGGATATTGGAGATTGTGTGGCAACATGCTGTTCTCAGAGACAAAACCCTCAAACATTGGACGATGTTACCACTATCTGGTAAAGCACATTCCTTGCACAAATCAACCATAGCTTGTTCATGATCTGTTCTTAATCTCTGGGCATCTGATAACAGTGATGCTGCATTCTGTTAAAATAAATCTTTAATTTAATATTTAGTTTTTATTAAATTATATATTATATATAAAATATATTAAATTGGCCAGTTATAAAGTTAGAATACATACTTTGAAATGGTCGTCAATTGATTTAATTCCAACTTGTCTCAAGGAAATATTTGGTTTCTTTTTATACAATTTCTGAAAATTAATTGTACTTCATTTAAAAATTTATTTAAATTACATTTTTGAATGCCATCTTTAATTTTTTATTTTTGTTAAAGACAGCCTTACCAAGCTTTCTGATCTTCTTGTTACAGAGGTATGAATAAATATTGTTGTATTTTGAAGAACAGAACCTGTACTGGATTTGAGATGAACATGGCGATATCCTATTAAAAACATTACACATCTCAAATTATTATGTAAATAATTAATGTCTTACACATAAATGATAAATCTGTTCAAATGATACTATTTTTAATTAAAATAAAGCATTACATTTTCTTTAAATCTGTTTAAAAATATGTAAACAAATAAAATTTACTTATTTTACAAATATGAATGTTTAAAGTATGTTTTATAATAGAAATGATTGTTTTAGTTATTAATATTCTATTTCTTAATTTTATTATAAAGCATTGCTATTTTGAGCTATATATGAGTAAAAGAACTATTATAGTTCATATATAACTTACATAAAGAGATTAAATATATATCATATTACATATAGAGACTACAGTGTAAACTATTTTTGTTTCCTAACTCTATAAAGTTTGAAATATTTTACCTTCTTTCATCAATAATTGAAATTAAATTTTGTAATAAATGTTTTATCAATAAAAAACAAAATCCAGCAATGAGTTGCAAAACATTCCTGGCTATTAAGAGATTTTAATTTAAAAAAATAACTTGTATTATTATTTACTTATTTATCGCATATAGAAAAGGAAATGATACAAGACAATTGATAATCTCCTTCTAAAAATAATGNTTTTTAATTGATTTAAATAAGTTGATTTTTAAATATTTTCTGAAAAACATGTTTATTTACATTATGAATGACTATGATCTGAGTCAAGATAGTCCTTTCTGCCATAACTATGGTTGTAGCTAACAGATGTGACCTTGTTAAATTAATTTATTTTTGATAAAGCAAAGTCCAAAATCTTTTTTGTGAATTGTTGTCATGTAGAATTCTAAAAGTATGAATGTAAAAGTTGTTTTGCAATGTTAGCATAGATCATCAACCTTTTTTTGATATTATTTGTAATTCGAAACAATTAGAAAAACTGACGTAAAGTACTGTATGACATTTTTTTGTAATTCTCTTAACGTTAAATATTACTAAAAATGTCATTTAAAACTAGATATTTTTATTGACTAATTATGGTTTTTTTTTATTTTCTAATAGATATTTCATGTCCATTTACATGAATTTTTTCACATTATCTTTTAATTTCCTTGTGAATGATCAAAATTTTGCATATCAATTAGAATCTGTCCTTGATAATATTAATTGAATCTGATAATTTTTTCATTGTTTACATTTCCTTATTTATATTTATCATGAAAATGCTGTATAAAATTATTCAAAAATCTGTTTATTATTATTATTATTATTAAAAAAAATTACTTTCATTAAAGGTTTTAAGATAATTATCTCTACTTTTAAGATCCATAACTGGAATAAGAACCCTAAAGCAAAATGCAAATAGTTGAAAACATTTTTTTGTGAATTTTATTACATAAAATAGACTTATTGCATTCTTTACTTATTTATGATTATGATAAGAGTTACGTTTTATAATTTTGATACATTTTATTTTTTGAAATTTAAAATTGTATGGCTAGACTATACATTAGCATTTTAATTTTCATAAAACTCTTAACAGAATAAAATGCAATTTATAATGTTAAATTTTTATAATAAATAATTAATATTCTTAAAGTAATAAAGCAATGGTTTCATTAAAATTATAAAGAGGCAACCTTTAACACTTAAAACTTTATATCAAATGAATAGCCAGATTTTTTTTATTGGACTACTAGCTGCAAGGACCCACTTCGCTGGGTTTTTATTTGTGGGCAAAAAGTAACGATAGTGAAGATTAAGATAATTACATTATAGCCAATCTTATCCGTTTTCACAAAATGCAAAAATTAGGTCCCCCGTTTCCAGACTAATTAGAGAATTTTTACGTCCAGTCAAACGAACTATTTTCAATTTGATCAATTTTTTTGGAACGTTTACAATTGTTCTATAATCAAACCAATTCGAATTTAAAACGGTTCGATCATTTTTAAAATCGAAATAGAAAATCTTCGAAGTCAACCACTCTAAACCCCATATCTCCTGAACCCTTATAGCTATCAAGACGCAACCACCATAGTGCACGAATGGAGACTTGGGGCTACTACCACATACAAACACCATTCATGTGCAATGTGTAGTTTTGGCTAAAAAGTGAAATATCACGTCCATTTATATATATATATATAGATTAAGGCTAAATAAATACGAAGTAATCTGGCACGAGGCAGGCCATCAGACAGCCATCTATTCTTAAATATAATAATCATAAAAAATTAATTTTAGAATATTCTGAAAGAAAAGATTGGCCTGGAGTGGGACTTGAATCTCTAATTCCTGTTTACCTGTTCAGATGCATTGCCAATTACACTACCCTGGACTTTCATTTCCAGACTAATTAAATAATCAACTATAAATAAATATGGCTATATTTAAATTAATTATTATATTTAACAAGCAATAGAAGTCTGCCTCCTGCCAAACTGCTTAGTAATTATTTAGCCTTAATAGCCTGATAAAGGAATCTGGCTGTTTATTTCATATTTAAAGTAATTATCAAGATTCATCATCATTAACCCTGGGCAAACTGCCTGTTGGTGTCTGATGCCTTTTCCACTATTTTGTTCCATTTCTCTCTATTTATTGACGATTTTATACATTTGTTCCACATCACTTCTTCAAGTCATCAATCCATTCTCTATATGATCTGCCTCTTTTGTTGGATCCATCCATAATATCATAGGCTAAAGCCTTATCAGATTAGTCGTATTTATTATATATAAAAAACATACTTAGCCAAATTTGTATTTCATATTAGTTTAATATCTGGAACCCGAAGAGCACCATTCACACATCTGAAAACATTCATTCAAATGTAAAGTTTTAATTGGTGAAAGGTTGTCTCTTTGTAATTTAATTAATGTTCTTTATGCTTCTTAATTTTTTAAAAAATTTATCTAACTAAGAATTTACATTTTAAATTTTATATTTTCATTCTTACACATTCTCTCTTAATAATAATTACAGAAACCTACTTTAAGAATTCCAATCATTTTTTTGGGAAAGACTTTGTCTTCAAAAGAATTAATCATAATTATTACCATCGGACAAAAATTTACGAAAATAATTTTAAAGTATCATCACCAGGGGACAGCTTTCCTCATCTATATTTTACCAGCGCCTATTTTGTTGTAGATAAAAGCCGAAACAACCCCAAGAAGGTATGATGGAAAATAGAAGACATCCATACATCACCAGTTCCTGTTTTTTAAAAATGTTTATATTTTTAATTGGATATTTTTGTGTTTTTTTTTTAAAGGACTGTTTGGCGGCCAGTAGCCTAAAAGAAAAGGTCAGTCGCCAAAAGTGTAATGTCTGGAACATAAAGTTAATAAATGGTGGTTCCTATTTTTTTGGGAAGGACTTTGTCTTCAAAAGAATTAATTCCATTCATATTATTTTCAGCATTTTGATTTTTTTTCCTCTTAAATATATGATTAATAAAAAAAGTTTTTATGAGAAAAAGGTTAAATAGTTATGAGAACCCATGTTAGTGATATATTGAAACTAAATTAATGTATGCATATAGTCAATGTAAAAATCTCAAAAAGAAAAAATACANTAAAAAAAACAAAAGATTATATATTATAAAATAACTGTTTATAAATGTGTTAAAATGCAGAAAATCTTCATGCAGAAATTGTTTCATACAGCCCATATTCTGAATAGATCAATAGAAAAAGAATCTGAAAGAAATGGAAAGCCTAAAAGATGGGGTAAAGAAAACAAGTTTGGTTATAAATAACTCATGGCAAAATTCTTACACACAGCCAATCAAAATGAATAGAATCATGGAAGTATTTGTATAAAAGTAAAGAGATCAAAGCATTTGATATGTTCAGTAAACTGGGAATTCCCAATCTAGACCTAGCAACATTAGCATTAGAGATAGAAGGAAGGTTAAAGAGTTTATTTAGAATGAAAAAATATTTTATCCAATTCTTTTAATATTTTTTGTAAATGGGAAGAAGTAGGCTTAGCTCATATTGGCAAACAATAATCAAGTAGACACTATTTATTAATATTATGATTAATTCAAACTATGTTTGATGCCATCTGTTATGAAATTTTATATAAACTTTTTATATAATTGATAATTATAAAATAGAAAAATGCTTAATTTTGAGGGCTGAGAAAAAATTTATAAAAAATTGTAAATGCTAATAATGAGTAAAATTGTCATTAAGTCCAATCCCTCTCAAGATGATTCAATTCCCTTCATCTCTCCACTCTTTTGACCTTTAACCACCAAATTTTAATAGCATCAATGCCCCTTACATACAAGCTACTATGCCAAATTTCATTTCTTAATCATTATCTCATCCTGAGATATTAAATAAAATAGATGCCAACACACACACAGAACCATGGAATTTTTTCCAATATTTTTTTTGACTTTTTTGGCTCAGGAGATCTCAAGATTTGCAAAAAACTCTGAGGATCAGTTTGACATGATTCTAATACTTTCCCTTGTTATGTATACATAACAATCAGTAAAGTAAAAGTAAAATTATGATATATAACATTTAGTATGCATAACTAATTCATATTATTGAAGCTATTTTTTTTTGTAATAACAAAACACCAGTTAAAATACAGTTTTCTCAAATTCTAACATTTTAGAATTTTTTAAATACTTTACCAAGTGAAATTCCTATTAACAACAACTTTTACAGTTATTGAAGTTTTTCAATTTATGAAAAGTTTGATAGTTCCTGATTTTTACAATGAACTGTTAGTGAATGAGCTGACTGAATGCACATTATATTGTACAGTACTTGTCTTATTGTTTTGCTCATATTTTAAGTTTATTTTATTTATTCTTTATATTATAGTTAATATTTTTATTTTTTTGTTCTATATAGAATTNTACATAAAAAAAACAAAAGATTATATATTATAAAATAACTGTTTATAAATGTGTTAAAATGCAGAAAATCTTCATGCAGAAATTGTTTCATACAGCCCATATTCTGAATAGATCAATAGAAAAAGAATCTGAAAGAAATGGAAAGCCTAAAAGATGGGGTAAAGAAAACAAGTTTGGTTATAAATAACTCATGGCAAAATTCTTACACACAGCCAATCAAAATGAATAGAATCATGGAAGTATTTGTATAAAAGTAAAGAGATCAAAGCATTTGATATGTTCAGTAAACTGGGAATTCCCAATCTAGACCTAGCAACATTAGCATTAGAGATAGAAGGAAGGTTAAAGAGTTTATTTAGAATGAAAAAATATTTTATCCAATTCTTTTAATATTTTTTGTAAATGGGAAGAAGTAGGCTTAGCTCATATTGGCAAACAATAATCAAGTAGACACTATTTATTAATATTATGATTAATTCAAACTATGTTTGATGCCATCTGTTATGAAATTTTATATAAACTTTTTATATAATTGATAATTATAAAATAGAAAAATGCTTAATTTTGAGGGCTGAGAAAAAATTTATAAAATATTATAAATGCTAATAATGAGTAAAATTGTCATTAAGTCCAATCCCTCTCAAGATGATTCAATTCCCTTCATCTCTCCACTCTTTTGACCTTTAACCACCAAATTTTAATAGCATCAATGCCCCTTACATACAAGCTACTATGCCAAATTTCATTTCTTAAATTAATCATTATATCATCCTGAGATATTAAATAAAATAGATGCCAACACACACACAGAACCATGGAATTTTTTCCCATATTTTTTTTGACTTTTTTGGCTCAGGATATCTCAAGATTTGCAAAAAACTCTGAGGATCAGTTTGACATGATTCTAATACTTTCCCTTGTTATGTATACATAACAATCAGTAAAGTAAAAGTAAAATTATGATATATAACATTTAGTATGCATAACTAATTCATATTATTGAAGCTATTTTTTTTTGTAATAACAAAACACCAGTTAAAATACAGTTTTCTCAAATTCTAACATTTTAGAATTTTTTAAATACTTTACCAAGTGAAATTCCTATTAACAACAACTTTTACAGTTATTGAAGTTTTTCAATTTATGAAAAGTTTGATAGTTCCTGATTTTTACAATGAACTGTTAGTGAATGAGCTGACTGAATGCACATTATATTGTACAGTACTTGTCTTATTGTTTTGCTCATATTTTAAGTTTATTTTATTTATTCTTTATATTATAGTTAATATTTTTATTTTTTTGTTCTATATAGAATTTTATTAAAAAGTTTGAAAAGTTACTTTAATTATAATAATCTGCTTTATGCTAAAAACATTTGGTAACAAGTTACTTTGAACTTTGATGGATATCAAAATGATTATCCAGTGTCTCTTAAAGAGTTCAGTGATCATATTATTCAATTATAAATAATTATTTATTAATATGTTTAAATAGTTAATTTTAAGTTAAAAGTTATTAAAATTTTTTAAATACCTGTTTGTACACTGGTTAAAGGAATAGCATATTGACCAATGAAGTCATCACCTAAACATTCATCATCTAATACTGCTAAACGGAGTATTGCTATTTCTGGTACAGTCACAATAAATTCAAAACTTTCATCAAATATTGGAGAATGTCCTGTTTCAAATATATATTTAATCTTTAATAAACTATTAAAAAAACAAATAAATGAAATCCTTACAATAAATACCTTCATTAGATATTGTTCTTGTCCGTGCTTCGGCACAATCTGCTGGTACTCCATGAACCTGAACGACAATATAAGGATCAATGGCACTTGCTTTACAGGAAGATCCTTCAGGTTGGGGTAACTGTTGTGCACTAATAACCTAGAAAAATAAAATGATAAATTTTTGCAATGTATGAAATAAGTAAAAATTCTGTTTATATTTTCTATTAAAAAAATTGGAAAAAACAATATTACAAACTTTATAATTGCTATTAAAAACATAAAAATTTACATTATTTGTCTTACATCTGACAATGTAATTATGGTTAATAAATAATACATTGTTACATATTTATGCAAAACAGCCAAGAAATAAGCTGTAAATAATATTTTCATCAAAATAAACAGTTTTGTATGTCTTGCTTAAACTAAGATAATAAATGCAATTGAAAATATAAAATTGTTCAACTTTGCACAGATATTTAAAATAGCACAGATATATGCAAAATATTATTATTGGTAACACACTGCTTGATTTAACACAATCTAGAAAAAAAAAAATTCAATTCTCTTTTTACACGATTTGTTTTGATCTAACTTGTTTTAATAAATTTGTCTATTTAAAAAGTCTATTTAATTTTTTAAAAAAATATTCAAACTTCCATCTTGAAAATCATCTCTTAAATGTAAATTCTAAGAATTTTTAAAAAAGATTTCTATGTACTGTACACTCAAATAAATTTTAAGATTTGATTGTTTTTTACAACATAATTGTATGTGTAGCATCAATCAGGAGTGTTACCAATTTACCTGTTTTGTAGTTAAACCTACCTATTTTAATTTTACATTTATCTATAAAAAATTCTATTGTCAAAATAGGGATTTAGGGATTTAGGGATTTTTCCATTTCCTGTAGCTTTGAAAGTTAATTTTTTCAACATTAATATCATCATCATCATCATTTATTGTCTATTGGGAATTTCTTCCCTATTACAAGGGGGTTGCAGTTACATTTGTACTTGTTTTTACTTACAATACTTTTTGTTTTTAAATTTACACTTAATTTTCGCTAATACATTTACATATTCTTTAATTTTGAAACTTATAATTTATTATTCTATTTCACTAATACTATCATATTTTGATACTACATTTGTATTAATTTGTTTTGTTTTTATAAATATCTATTACTTTACAAAAATAGTTATAAATATTATATAAATCTTTTTTACTCATCTTGTTAAAGTTTTTTAACAATTCTATTAGCGAGTTGCCTTTATAAATTCGATTTATGTCTTAGTGTTCACGAATTTCATTTAGTTTTGGACATTTTAATATCAATTGATAAGGTGTTAAGTCGTCGGAATTACATGAAAAACATTTTGTTAATAAGCTTATATAAGTGTTGTTAATATACAGCGAATATTTATTTAAGCGAAGTTGTATTATAAGTCGTTTTACATTCAAATTTACCGAATACAACATATATGGCTGAACTGATGGTATTTCAAATATATCCAAGTACCACGAATGATATTTACTACTATGAAGAGAGTACTGAACTTTGTTTATAGAATGTGCTATAGCTGATTCCAAAAGTAATGAGTAACCTGTTTTCCAATCTTGAATATTGTCTTGAAATAGTAGTACTGATATTCCAAAAGAGTTGAAGATAGTTTGCAATTTATTATACCATGGCTGTTTATTTTTTTGAAGTTTACTTTGCCTGATATTTTCATGATATAAAATAATCAAATTGTTATCACAATTGAATTTGAGTCTATAATAAAATTTAATGATTTGTTTTAATATAACGGGAATAACCATGTGCGATTAGTTAAAATATCCGGCTCGTATTTGACGCAAAAGTTATTTATTAGTGACGTTTTATTTTTTATTACTTGACCATTCCAGTTAGCAATGGAAACCATTTGATTATTCTTTATAAATCTGTTATATTGCATATAATTTTGCTTGGCATGATATCAACTGTCTATATTTATTTGGTTACTATAAGGATGAAAATTATTTACATAAACCAGTTTACTCAATTTTAAGCTATATGTTATTTTTTCTTGATTTATCGTTAATATATCATTACGGAGTTTAACTTGATCTTTTTGTTTTCGCCATTCATAAAATATTGGGAGTAAATTTTTCCTTCTTAATCTTGAGTTTTTGGTTAAATCTGGGGATATTTGCATATCTTCCCATTCTTTTAATGCATTTTTTTGTTGTTTCTTTTGAATAAAAGTATAGAAGAATTTATCACGAATTTGCTTATTACTAAATGTTATTCTTATTGCTGTATTAGGTTTCTTTGTTAGTAAATTTGTTTCTATTATCTCAGATTGGGATATATCATGAATATTAAGTACATTAATCATAAAGTTATATATCTCTGACGTAGATATAGCTTTCACAATAGGATATTTGTATACAATTATTTTTTTATAATTATAATCATTATTTAAAGAATCTATTTTAAATTGCATTAGTTCATTTTCACTTTTTTGATCTTCTAATTGTTGTTGTAAATTTTTAATTTCTTTCTCCATATATATCTGTTTTTCTTTAGTCTCACGTATATCTTGACGTATACGTTCTACGTCTTCTTTTATATAGACCATTTGTTCTAACAATTTATTATTTGAATCATTTATTAAATCTGATATTTTAGTCCATAAGAGTGCGGTTGAGGTGTCAAAATGACTTGCCGAATTAGTAGAAGAATTTGGATTAATTTTAGGTGACTCACCTGTTGAACCCAATAAATTCTGCTGGTTAGATTCCATATTTTGATTCAAGAATTCCCTTGTTCCTTCTTGTGAATCACTTTTCGTTTGTATTCCATAATCCGTAATAAGTTTAGAGCTTGAAGTACTTGGTTGAGCTTGTTTGTTCTCTGTCCTCGTTCTGGTAAGTGGAGGTCTTCCTCGCTTAGCTGGAGATCTTTGCATAATATTTTTTTGAATTATTGCTTTTTCCTTTACTTGAACTTAGATAATGTTAGTTTAAACTTGTTTAACAATAAGTTAAATAAACAGACTAAAATTTACCACTTCGCTGCCCAAATGAAAAGTTCACAAAAAAAGTCACTCACAGCGTCGACGTCCTAACACGCCCCCTTTTCAACATTAATATACCACTTTAGTTATTTTTGTATTTTTATTTGAATGCTGTTGGCAACATCAATCAGGCTTTCATTCTGATTTTATTAATTTGAAAAATCTGATGTTTCATGATTTATTTGTACAAATGTTTGTGCTGTGTATTCTGTGACATTTGATGTTAAAAGCTAAAGCTATTTTGGTATTTAATTGAAAAGTCAAATAAAAAATAAAATTTCTGCAAATAATATAAATTTGTTGAATTCTGCTGACAATAAATCAGAGGAGGAACAATTGTAAATTAAAATTAAAATAATTTTGTTTAAACACATACTAATATATTACTGATTCATTGTATTATATTTTACTGATTTTTAAGGTCTGGAACCAATCTTTTACTTTTCTATCTGACCACATCTTTTTTACATGGGTTTTTTGCACACATTGGGAATGTAGCTACTAATATACAAACAGAATTAGGTTATATTACATTAATAATTTATGTAACTGTAAATAAAACACAATATGGAATAATAATTTAACAAAGAAAGCTCTTTAATGTAATAAAACTAAAATAAATTACACCTGAAACTTGTATTATGAAGTATATTCATAGAAATTTGCAAATTTCAAAAATATTATGAAGTTTGGTTAGCCACATTGTAACATGTAAGATTTTTATACAGTAGAGCGTTGTTTATCCGAAAGAATTCCAGTCCAAAAATTTAAATTTTCGCTAGTGCTCTGGCGTTGCAATCTTTGGCTATATCTTGGGCTACTCCAATATTTTTTTGTTTGTGTATGTGTTTTAGCTGGCACTTTTGTATGGTGTTTTTCTGGGAACTGTGTGTCATGCTGAATCAAACGTTTTTGATACTAGATTAACTTCTAAAGTATAATTTTTTACTGTTTTTATATTTTTCAATATATTTATTTTGTTTGTAAAAAATAAAGAAATAATTTTTAATGATACAATAGTCACGATTATTATTTTAAAAAGTTTACATTAGGCTTAACATCGACGAAAATTCAATGCAAAGCGACATGCAACGGAGAAAAATTTCAACATGGGATAGGTTAACATATTTTTTCGTACGTAATTGGTTATCCGAACAACCCCAGTCCCCAATTGATTCGGATAAATGACGCTCTACTGTAATTTAAATTTTTATAAAGCATACAAATAACTTTCTCAAAATAATAACTACTTATATATACAGTAGAACCTCGATTATCCGGATTTTCGATTATCCAAATTGTTCAAAATAAACAAAAATTTTACGAATTTGCTTATTTGCACTTGGCGAATTACGATACTGTTTATATACGTGATGGAATGCATAACTTTTTTTGTTTCAACAACGTCTCACCCGGCACAGTGATCATAAACTCTTAAATATATTTTGCGTCGTAATAAAAATATAACTTGACATACGTATTTATAAATAATTTATATTCAAATTACATCATTTCTATGACCAAGGGTGGCGTAAGGCATGGGCAACGTGGGCCACAGTCTATGCCTGGCAGTCCGAAGAGCCTCACGTCTCGAAGGTTTACGCATTACTTAAAAGCCGCGAACGTGACGAAAAAATTTTACTCGTCATAAAATGATAAATAGTTTGTCAAATTTTTATTCATAAAAATGCAGTTTCGACTGCTTTTTATTTTATAAAATCCGTCTTCTTGCGCCACCAGAGGGCCTTTTAAACAGTACGTAGTCTGTTATCATTGGTCAGTAGTAGTCCAAATTCAATACGAACGTTTGTTTCTTGAAAATTTGATCACGATTTAATTACACTATTTACTTTTAATATTACCGATATGTCATCGAAAAGAAAACGTGATGTATTATCATTAAAAGACAAATTAAAGTATTTGTTTCGATTATCCGGATTTTTCCTTATCCGGACTACTTTCATCCCCAATTAGTCCGGATAATCAAGGTTCTACTGTATTATAAAATGTTTAATTATTATAAGAAATGATGAAAGTTTTCATCAATAATTGATACCTTTAAATGAAACGTTATTGGTTCCAATCCAGGATATGGCTCCTTGGCAGTGGGAGAAAACAGAAACATGTGATCTCTAAGAAAATGTGGTTTTAATATATAACCACAATTTCCATTTTGTTGAAACCAGCCTTCATACAAATCCATCATTTGGCCAGATGTCTGAAAGTTCATTGCAACTATATTTTGACAAAAAATTATAAATGTTCATCTATTTTATATTATGCAAAAAATACATTATTATTCATTATTATCAAGTTAATCTTACCCATTTGACAGCCATAACTCCAATAATGTAGTGGATTAAAATTGCTTGAATCAACTCTATTGCTACTAGGAAATATATGAGTTAAGTATTGCTTATTATGATTTACAAGATCTTCAGCAAAAGCTTGACATAACTTGGTAGCAAGGATTTCAGCAAAAGAAGAGGCATCAGATGTTTTTTCTGAGAAAATTCAGATTAATTTTAATATATATATATATAATCAACAGTAAATAAATTTTAAAAATTATACATATTATATCTCCTTGAAAGTATAACTTACGTATTTCTTCTGATATTTCATAGTCTAGAAACCTTGTTTTCTTCAAAGTGACTAGATCTGACAATTCATGAGCCAATTTGATTTTATGAATTACCTGATAAAATTTCAAAATTTAAAATATTTTAATATAAATGTACAGTATAACACACAATCAAATTATAACAAAACTGCAATTTCATATATTTAAGTGAAAATATAGTTTAACACATTCTGTAGCAAAAGAATAAAGCAAATTTCTAATTCAGTGCCAAATATCACATTTTCAATTGAAGCTATTTCATTATATATACAGTACATATCTATGTCTCAGTAAATAACAAATTTAATCAATACACATCATTCAAAAAGAGAGTTTTATTAAAGAAAAAGATTTACTGAAGAATTTCATTGCTATTAATTTTTAAAAAAAACATAAAATATATTTAATACAGTCAAACCTCTAGTTTAAAACTTAATTCATTCCTAAAAGTTGTTCTCAAACCGAAACAAATTTTCCATAAGAAACAATATAAGACAGATTAATCCGTTTCTGACCCTCAAAATAAAGCTTCTTTTTTATAACCTTTCAGCTGTATTTCATGCTAAAAATGCCTATAAATACAATGTAATATTATATGTAATAAATTTTTGTTATTTAATTTGACTTAAGCATCTTTAAACACAAATTCTTGGATGCCATTTATATTATGTGAATGTCAATTAATGCAATTTTTATTAATTAATTTGATTTAAATTCAATTGTGATGCACAGTGAAAAATAGTGGTAGTATCTTACTCTCATACACATTGAAATATAATTTAAATAACTGTCATTGATAGTTTGTTTCATGATGTCTAAATCCAGTTGTTGATTGGTTGGGCAATCAACTTTCTTTAACACAGGAAGTATATGGAGTTGACCATCTGTGGGTGCTCTTGCCAAGTAGCTTGTTTGGCAAAAGGGACAAATATGGTGTTCAAAATTGTTCATAAACCAAATTGTTTGTAAACAGAGGTGTTTGAACTCGAGGTCTGACTGTATAACTATTATATTAGCCCATAAACATAAATCAAATTACATAATCCATTAAGTAAACATCTTGGAGAATCTTATATCATTTTCTTACACACGAGAATTTATTATTACATATAATAACAAATTCTTAGTTGCAAAAGATATATAAATATTTCTACCTTGCTACTATCCGATATGTCTTCTTCATCAGTTACTTCACCATCCCCCTTACAATATTCAGGTAATTTTTTGCCCTATAATTTGTTTTAATAACAAAAATAAAAATATATACAACAATAAATATTTTACACTTAACTATCTACTTGTTCTCTAATATTCTAAAAATGATGCAAATCTTACCATAATGACAATTTTTCTTTTTAATCTTTCAGGAGAAGTCTGAGTTAATAATAAATGACCATCTCTCTCTGGAATATATAAATATTTGCTCAACATAAAAGATATTAAACTAGATATTTCCCTTTGAGATTCCAGACAGCAATGATTTTCCAAATGTAGAATCAACGGATACCTTATTAAAACAAAAACACAGATAAATCAAAAATTTATTTAATCAAAATAAATATTTCTGTTAAATCCTTTATAACTTACTGTGATGTTACAAAAGCATTATCACTAATTGTTTGTAAAACATCTGCTAATGGAATTTTAGATGTCAAAGTATTACCATGATACACAACTGGCCCTTGGATATCATCCCAACAATCAACTAAATTTGTAAATATTCAAATCAATATTCTGTTATTACCATTAGACTAATTTTTAATTATTAATTTACCTTTAATACATCTACATCCTTTCTGCAGAACATTAACATAACCTTCTATACTAGATGGACCTTTTAATTGATCTTGTAGCAAATATCTACATATTGAATATAGTTATTAATTTTTAAGTCAGTAATGAAATTCAATAATAATATTGAAAGTGACTTACGTATTATGGGAAGTTGATATAAAATAATGAGACAATGGATGGGACATGTCTTGATCAACAGCTCCTTTGTTTGGTGTCATATCACAGGTTTCTGACAGCAGAAATTGAGTAAAACCTGAAAATAATAGAATTCATGATGAAGAATTATTTGAATTAAATAAAAAAAAATTTTGAAAAAATATTTTATTAATAGAAATTATAAGCATCCAACTCAATAACTGTAGAACTTATAAAGAATAGAAAAATAGATATTTTTCTTCAGAAAGATTTTATATAATGTAAGGCATTTGTTTATGTAATAGTAATTCTGCTTTATTAGTATGTAAATTTGCTTTTAGCTAAATTTTAAAGTGTGTCATTTCTATATAACTGAAATAGAATGTACAAAATCTTTTGGTTTGCTCATGACAATACATCTAAATTCAGTGTTCTGTCTTATCTGAGATCAATCCCTTCTGATTATCATAAAAATTTCGATTTCAATAATTCTCAACAAGCATCTGTTCATTTTGTTTGCTACTTGTTGAATTTTGAGTAATTGCAATGATGTTTCCACTGTGTACTTTGTTGCAATTGTACTATACTTAATATCACTCTTATATTCTTCCCCACACATAATAATGTGATAAAATTTTTAAAAGTATTATTCAACTATCATCTAATTTTACTTCTAAGGCTTCAATTTAATAATATTACAATTATAAGTGAAAGGTTATCATATCTAAAGCGGTTAAAAGTAAAAATTTCTCATACAAGAAAATTTCCATGTATGTATGTCTCTTTAATTCGAAATTAAGTTCAGTAGACTATCATTACAGCTTTCAGGTTAAACATTTCTTTTATTGTTTCCACATATGCATTTCGGACTTATATAAATGTTAAGTCCGTCTTCAGTGCAATACTACAAATTATTAAAAACTACAATTACTAACATGACAAAATTCCTCACATGTAGGTCATATTTACTGACATAAAACTATCATATTTAAAAATTGTCACACTTATATGATACCTATGGTTCTGTCTTCTAAAACCACGGTGTATAACGGGTAACATTGGAAAGATTTTTTAATACAGCCATTTTAAAGTGTTTGGCATATACTCTTCCCTTAAAAAGCACTTAAAATAGAAAACTTCCTTTTAAAGTTAGTGTCAGTAAAATCTATATATACTTGTATATTTAAAAGACAACTGTATGTGCTTATTGATCTTGATATTCTTAATAAATTTATTATTATACCTGGAACTTATGAATAGCAATGGATGATTAAACAAACAAAATCAAAATTTTCCTACTATAATATGAAGTAAAAAATAGTCATAATGTTTCACTCCAAAGTATTTTTATTTGTAAAGAAGTTTAAAATTGATGATGGATTTCAATCTTTAAAAAATTAAAATCCATCTACTTTAAACTTCAAAGAATAAATTCAAATTATAAAAAATTTTGAATGATAAAAACATAAATGAAATTATGATTTTGAACTAATTGACAGAGACAAATATTACTTAAGTTTTTTATTATTTATTTAAATATTTTAATTTGTTATTCATACATAGAATTTGAAATAGGAACTACAATTTCTCCAACAATTTTAAGAAAACATTATTTTTATAGTTACTTTCTTTACAAAATAAATGTTATGTCATTCTTATAAGAATGCATAATTTGTTTAATGGAATTAAAAATCTGAAAAGTGAACTTAATATTTCATTTTGTAAAATTTCAATTTTACTAATTTCAGAATAAATTTTACATTAAAAAATGTATTGGAATAAAATAATTACTATTCATATACTAATAATGTTAAACATGATTTAATTAATATACAAGGAATAAAATGTAAATATTAAAAAACATATTTCTATAATATTCATTTATTTATATTTATTCAGTGATATCTGAACATTTTTAAAATAAAACTTTATAAAACTCAGATATTTTTCATAGAAACAAAATTAAAATGCCAAATTTTAATTTGGACAGCTTTAATGTAAAAAAGATATTTTCAGGAATTTATTTCCATGCATAATAACTATTAAAGTAGAGTCCCACAAACTCAACTTAAGGTGGACTGAGAAGATGACATGATATCAACGTTGAGTTTTACAGATAGTGATGATGCTAAACAGCAAAATTTTCACAAAGAAATTATATGCACAAATTCATACATGTATAAACTAGTACGAATAGTGACTATTTCTATTTGTAATTAAATCTTAATTAAAAAAGTATTGTCTATTTAGTGGCTATTTCTGAGTTAGTGACATTTGTGTCATGGCATTTTGCAGTGATAGCTTGGAAACGGCTGCATATTTAAAAGGTTGTCTTGAGTGTGTTTAATAAGCTTGGAAAAAGGCTTATATTCTTTGTTAACACATGGAACTAATGCTATTATTGTGTTGCCAGAGAAAAACAATAACTTACTTTATCTTACAATTAAGCTCTAGAGATAAAAATTAAATTACAAGTATTTTTTAATGATATGATGAGTTTTACAGAATATTGAGTTATTGATAGTCGAGTTTATGGGACTCTACTGTATTATTATTGTTAGTATTTAACATTTCTCTCTTTAAAGTTTATAATACATCTATTAAAAAATATAATTAAAATCTAATCTAATCTAAAATATATTTATAATAAATGTTAGAATAAATTATATTTTAATGTAATTGACATTAATATTAATTTCATTATATTAATATTTCATTATTCAGTATATAATTTCTTTCCAATATTAAAAATAAAAAATTTTCAAGAAAAACATTAAATTATAAATATATATTTTTTAATAGATGTATTATAAATTTTTGAGAGAGAGATATGTTTGTTGTTGGTGTTTATTATTATTATAAATTTATTTTCATGAAATGAAATCTAAATATATAAAATTACATGTCCTGACTGACTGGGTGATTCATCATCGCCCAGAGCAAACCACTGAACCTAGAGATGAAATTTGGTACACAGTTAGGGTGCATCATGTAAATGCACACTAAAAAGGAATTTTTCAAATTTTCCCATGGGGGAGAGGAAGAGGATTAATGCTTAACCTGAAGAATGGCTTCTACTGTACTATTTTAGATGTGATTTTTTGTTTTTAACTACATTTTAGTAGTGTAAGAATTGGGATCTATTAGGTTAATCAGTATAAGAAAATATATTATTTCTCTACACATTGTTTACGAAATGGGAAGTTGCATTCATCATTTTTGAAGAAAAGGGAAATCAACACTTCCTTTCCAACAGGACCTTATCTGTAATTCTGACAACCATATGTCTGTTTATGGCTCAACCTGAAGAACACTTTTAATGTACTATTTTAGATGCAATTTTTGTTTTTATAGTAACAACTAATGATTGAGAATCTTAGTGAAGTACCAAGGGAGGGTTATTTCTATCAAATTGCAAATTCCATGCAGGTGAAGCCGTGGGTAACAGCTAGTTATATATATAGTCGAGAGTCTGCATAAGTCGACACCACAAGGGGAAGTGAAAATGTGTCAAGTTAACCGCTATGACGACTAAAGTGAAGCTGAAAAAACACCAATACTACAATTAGAAAAATACAGTAGTGCAATGTACTTCTCTGACCATCCATCACTGGCATTAAAGTTAGTTTCTACTCCAAGTACTCCAGCAATGTCCATTGCCATTTGTTTCAGTATTAGTCCTGAAACAAAAAGATTTGATGAACGAATTTGCTTTAGCCAACATAGGAGAACATCTTCAACACCTTTGTACGGCAACTTTCTCTGGTGTTCTCAAGGCAGCCGCAAGAAAAAGTTTAATTCTCTCTTTTTTCTTCATGATTCCCACCAATATTGTTTTTGAAAGGTTTTTTTGTTTTGCAAATTTGGCTTGTGAAGTTTTCTTGCATTCAAATTCAGAAACAAGTTTGTATTTTTCCTTCAGTGTAAGTGTTGTTAGCTTTTGGACACTCATTTCTAATAGAAATGTAAAACATGTGCTACAAATAATACATGAGGTGAGAAAATGCAAAATGTATATTTTCTTTTTGGTTATCTGTTATTTTATATATAAAAATATATAAAATGTTAAGGCATTTTTATTAATATGTATATATTAATAGCTAATTCAACTCCCCCTCCTGAAAAAAAATGAGTTCACACTGTATATATATATTAGGGTGTCCCTTATATGGAGAAAAAATTTTTTTTTTCAAATTTTTACATGCATACCTTTAATTCTTTTCAAATCACTAAGACTTACTTACATACAAAATATTGATCCCCTACAATGACGATAAGCAGTGCCGACTAAGCCTCAAAGTTTTTATAAAGTCATTTTTGACTATCACTCGACTACATCATTGTCATACATACATGACTAGATCATTGTAATATTAAATAATTAGGTAAATAAGGAAATCAGACAACAATGAATATTTAAAATTTGTATGAATGCAAATTATTGTGGATATTTTCTTTTCAATGTCTCCTTTTTACAGTGCGGATACAGTTTTCTGTGTTCTTGCACACACGTAAAAGAAACTGCTTCTGTTCTACATCTGCGGTAATTAACCATGAAAATCTTGCATTAATTTAACAGTTCTTTCAGCTGTATCATTCACTGCCTTGAGAGAAAGAACCTTTCTTTTAGCTTGCAAAAAAAGCATGTTCTTAAAAGAAATGCTTTCCTGAAGGAAACTGCTTACAATTTTTAACCTAATAAACAGATTTTTGCTCTTCCTAGACACAAAACAATCCAAGGTTTTTCCTGAAACAAAAAGTAAGTATAGTTTAAATAAGATATAATTAAAGTACAAACAAAACATATAGTTCTACATACCATACAAAGAGCTGGCTATTTCTTCTTTTGATGGAATAAACCTTTTCCTGAAATCAGATATACTTTCCCATTCCAAGTTAGCTACTATTTTCATCTTGGTTGTTTCATCAACTAAATTATTGAATAGTGATAATATGGCTATTTCCTCAGATAAGTACCACAAGTGTTGACAAAACTTGGTCAAAGCTGCCTGGGAATTTTAATTTGTCAACTTTTTCATATTCTTTTAATGTTTTAAAAAGTACAATTCTTGATATGGCACCTGTACTGCCAAACCACATCCAAGCCAGGGTTTTACG